GAATTGGTAATATATGTGTATACACACACATGTGTATATATATATTCGTTGTAAAAATATCTGAACTAGTACCATATTTTATCTGAGAGGTAGGGTAACGACATCTTAACACCTGATAAGCATTGTTTGGTAAAGCAATAAAATAAGTTCAAAGAACAACAAAAAGAAATCAGTGTCAATAATATGTGTTGGATAGTAGATCACAAAGTATGTTAGAGAAGATAAATATTACTTGTGGCTCAGATGTTTAGGAGTGAACTAGGAATGTATGATTAAAACGTACAACAGATCCAAATTATGAAACAACAAATAACACAAGACATAAAACTTTAAGTTTACCACAGCTTAACAGAAATAATCATTATCCGTGAGAATAAACTTCAAATATGAATTTTCATATAATTATATTTGGCTGATACAGAAACACAACAACTAAAGCAAAACTAATTTAGGGCTCTTATAGTGGCAAAAACTTAGATTTTTCAAATTTAAATATTACTGCTAATACAACAACCCATTCTAATGACAAATTTCAGGAACAACACTATTGAATACGACTACAAGTAGAGTAGAAACATTTAGTTATTAAATGAGAGACAATAATTGTACGATACAGGAAATCCGCCTAAAAACACGGTATGCAACAACGAACGTAGCCGAGGTGAGGCACCTGACTTTAGGTTGTTTGTTTTAGAGTAAAGCCACGTTGACCACAAGGAATAAAAGCACAGGTTTTAGCATTGTAAGTCTGTAAACTTACCGCTGTCCCACCGGGGGATCGGACTGTAGGTTCATCCCCGAAGATATAGGGAAGATATTTTTTGTAGTTTTTCTGTAGGTTCATTCCCGAAAGTATAGGGAAGATATTTTTTGTAGTTTTTTTTCTCTCTCTTGTTTTTAAATATTTTTCTCGGATTACAAAGAATACCAGCACCTCCCAATACTCTGGAAATAAATTTCTTGGCTATGTCGGTGAATCTACAATATCAAACATTAGAGTAAGATATATATTGAAATATCTCAAGTAGGTCTCTAGCTGGCTTAGAACTTATTTCCAGCAAGAAAAAAAAAAGCATCGATTTTGTGTTTTCGGGTCAATTAAGGTTAAATCGTAAGGAAATATAAGGAGTATTTTTGGGATGCTTTATAACACAATCTAAACGTGTAGAACAAACGCTGAATGCAACAAAAACAATAAAGATATTAAAAATGGACCTATAAATTAACTTCTAAAATTGTTTTTCACTGTTTATTAATTCGACTTTTTTGTGAGTTTTAAACATGAAACGTGCTCTGAACTTCGATGACTTCGGTGCGCTACAGAGTGTTAAATACATTATATGAAAACGATTTTGAATATGCAAATCAGAAAGTCCGTGCCAACCAAAGCCGATATAAAGTGGCGGTGGAACATAATGTATCAGAACAAAAGTTTGACATTATGTTGGTAGTGTGATGTCACGGAAAAGTGATTGCTTTTGGGAAGGGTATGTATGTAACAATATATTTTTTTTTCATACACTCAGATCATAAAATTCTGTTTTGATTGGAAATTTAGAATTTCCATGACGGGGACATCCCTTTTACTTAATGGCATTGGAAAACAAAGGCAAATGGATCATCAGGACTACCTAAAAAGAGACCTGTAACCAGTCATATCCCAGCCGTGGTAAGACGTCTTGTAATAGGTAAGTGTAAAAATCCACGATCACAAAGATCAGTGGTAAAAATTGTCACGTGTTACAGGCAACAGTACGCAACATCATCAATGGGGATCTCCGTCTGGAAAAGTTACACAAATCATGTGTGCACTATTTGCTTTCACGACATATCCGTTCAACAGTCGTATACCTCAAGCAACTGGAGAATGAAACGTAAATCCATGCTTCCATACGATGACATACCGATCAAGTCGCTGGATGCAGTGTATTTGGAATTTTGAGCGATCGGTTTGTGTGTTTGCTTTGGGCTATCAGTGTATCGAACCCCGGATTTTAGCGTTGTAAGTCCGTAAAATTACCGCTATCCCACCAGAAAACCTGAGCGATCGGACTGTTTAAATGGGTGGTCGGATCTTCGTCCTCGTATACTAGACGGATTATAGAAGGCACTCAGGGAGAAATGCTGTGCTTTGCAAATGACAGATAAAGCCTGACCGGGTGTGACGAGGGTCCGAAATCGTTTAAACATAACGTACTCAACTTCTGCATAGGAGTGATTATCAAATCTTATTATTTGGTTAGGCAAACGTTGACGGTGTATGCTGCTTTGTAGTTGTCTTCCATCTAATCTATCACTTCATAATAAGGGGCGATTAGTATGCGCAATATCCTTTTGTTTTAGCTTTGCGAGAAAATTATAAAGTTAGAAAGCGTTGTAATTTTAACAAAAGCGTGTAGATAGTAATAATAATAATAAGAATTAAGACGATGTGTTTTATACAACCGAATACCCGTTGTCTGAAACAATGTCTAGAACATTAAATATACCTATGTTTATATATATATACGAATCTTTAAAAGTTGTAAATTTAGAAAATAAAAAATATTAGCAATATCGTAAGAACATTATATAACCTGCGGTATTTAACGACCCTAGAAATATAAACCTAATAATCACGATAAATAGAGTGTTACAGAACACTGTAATAATGTTGCATAAAGAATAATACAACTTTGTTTGTTTGTTGAATTTCCGGCAGAGCTACACAAGAGCATTCTTTGCTAGCCGTCCCTAATTTTGAAGGATTATACTAGAAGGAAGGCAGCTAGTGAACATCACCCACCGCCAACTCTTGGGCTACTTTTTTACCAAAGAATAGTGAGATTGAACGTCACATTATAATGTTGAAAAGGCGAACATGTTCGATGAAGGGATTCGAGTCTACGACCTGCAGATTGTGAGTCGAGTGGCTTAGCCACCAGGCCATGTCAGCCTTCAAAACTTTGTAATAAATTTCTTGAGAGTATAACAAAACTGATCGAGTATTGAATAGAGGATAAAATACTGAAATAGTGTTTCAGAGAGTAACACAAATATTACAGTAATGCTACAGATAATATTACAAAACATGGTAACAATGTTGATAGACAAACACAAGTTATAGTAGCTATGATGGAGTGGTTAACACAAAACATAGCTGTAAGAATTTCAGGGAAAATCATTTTTATCAGCTATGTTCTATTAAAAAAAATCGTTTGTCTCGAATGACAAAATATCTTCTAACGCCCTAGAAATTATTTTGTTGGTTATGCAGTTAATCTACAATATTAAAGATTAAAGTAAAATGTATATATAGATATTTCCAATAGGTTTCCAGGCGGCAAGAATTGATTTCCAGCAAGAAAACGAATATACAGAGAGAGAGAGAATACTACAACAGGGTAATGAAGTTTCAGAGACCAACATGAAATTTAGTAGCTGTGATGAAATGAATAACAATAACAAAAAACAAAGCAGAGATCAACTCAAAATATAATTGTTATGATTGAGGGAGTAATACAAAACATAGTGAGAATATTGCAGGGAGTGTAATGAGTAATAATGTGACAGAGATAAATGTAGAAATGCAAATTATTGTGTTATTATTGCAGGGAGTATAACACAACATATATATATATATATATTTATTAGTAACGTTGCAAAGCTTCCGTTGAAGAGAGTAACACAAAACATGATATTAATATTGCACACTTTTATGCGTATTAACATGATTAGAGTTGTATTTGTGTTATTAATTCTTAGGAATAAAGGAAGTTTTTGCTACCTTAGTGGCAGTGCACAGTTTGTGACGTTTGCTAAATTGTTAGAGCTTAGTAGGCTTAACGGAATGAGTGAATGAAAATGATTACGCCAACATGTGTAATCAAGTCATCGCTCTCAACATTCGAAACACACCTACACATGCTGGCATATCTGTGTGTACAAATATATGTGTATAAATAAATATATATATATGTGTGTGTGTGTGGTTTGGTTTGTTCTGAATTTCGCGCAAAGCTACACGAGGGATATCTGCGCTATCCGTCCCTAATTTAGCAGTGAAAGACTAGAAGGAAGGCAGCTAGTTATCATTACCCCCCGCGAACTCTTGGGCTATCTTTTACCAAAGAATAGTGGGATTGACCATCACATAATAACGTCCCCACGGCTGAAATGACGAGCATGTTTGATGTGTGTGTGTGTGTGTG